AAAGTGATAAATTAGGGTTATCAATTAAGGTTTTAATATAATAGCTTATTTTTGAATAAATAATTTTTAGACCTAATTTTTAAAAAGCAATTTTTCAATACCTGGATTTATGTAATTTTCCCTAAAGAGTAAGTCATATGGGCCTTGTAGATCATCTCATAGAAATAGAAAGTGGCCTAACATCTGTTAACAGTCCATGAATGTCGAGCAATCTAAAACCAGATTAGCTAGGCCCAAATAAGTAAAGAGAGAATGAATCAAGAATAGCCCAAAAAAGTAAAGAGATATTGATATAAATAGCACTAAACGGTGCCAACGAACATTTTATTAGCATGGCTTATTTTCATTTGTTTTCAACTAGTTTTCGAAGAATAATTTGTAAACTTTTTTAATATAAATACATATCCTTACGTATCTTTTCCTCAATAATACTTTGGTAGTGCCAGTTCCACCATCGTGGCCCAGCAAGCGGGGGAATTATATTTCAAGGTTTCGTTTCACTTTTTTAATATAAATATTCAACTTTAAGTATCTTTTGCTCGATAATTCTTTGATACTAAACACACTCAATATGATACGACTCGAAGTCTTTCTAATGTCTTCTTGTTGATTCCCCTAATCGCCCAAGTAGACCATGGATTGTTGCAAGCATTTCCACAAATTCATTGGTAATAGACATTTTTTTCTAGAAACTCAATTGTTATTATGATGCATAGACACCGTAATGAGCTATAAATAAATACTACATTATCGCAACGAAATTTTTACGACAAATCAAAAATCAAGGTAAATAAGAAAATTAACATTCTCATCACGAATAAACTTTACTTAGATTATTTTAAATTGATCATATTGACATATAGGGATTATTGTCAAAATGCCCACTACTTTTTAAAATCATATTGACCTAGTAAAGGAAGGTTGGAAATTTATGAAACGACCTCGATATATGTACCCAAGTCTACCAAGAACTTGAAAAAATCAATGAGAATTTTCTCATATGTCATCTAGGACAACTATTCAACTTTCTTCAAGAAAGAGATGACTATTTATTACAAGGGTGAAAATGCAGTCGAGTCAAGTTGAGTTGAAAAATTGCTATAAAACTTCTAGACGAAGTTCAAAATTACATGAATTTTCGACTATAATGATAGTTTGAACTATATAAAAATTGCAACATATTTCGGGTCGAGTTAATTATTTGGTTTGGGTTTTATTCAGTGTACATATAAAGCAGAGTGCTAATAATTTTCAGAAATAACCTATCTCTAAAAAACTTTTATCACAAGGTCTATTTGAAATTACTTTTCATTTATCCTCTCTTTGATACCTCCAAAGTCCAATAACTTACGTGGATTTGTAGTTTCTCTTTTCACATAAAAAGTTCAATCCAAAAAATTTCTTCAAGCCCAATTAAAATATTAACATAATTATTGCAATACTTTTAGGATGTTATATTAAAAAATATTAAAAGTGATTCAAAAAAAAAAGTGAAATATTTTGTGAATTGTCCTAATTAATCGAACACGCCAAACATGTCAACAAAATATACACGGCACGACTTCTATAAGTTAGTTGAACCTTACTTAACGTTCATTCTTGGAGGTTACTTCAAAAGATAGGAACAAGTCAAATTGAAAATTTCTTGTGGGAGTATCCTTTTCAATCTCTTGGGAAGTAAGGAAGAACTCAGGAACCCCAATGATTAACGTATTAGAACAACATGTGTATAATTGTCCGAGGGGACCAAATTAGGTGACTTGCCATTGTCATAAATGGCTTCTTAGTTACTCATAAACTAATATAAGGATTGGTATTCTAAGGACGTATCAATTCAAATGAATCAGTCCAATTGAAAATTAGATTTAGATAAAGAGAGAAAAGGATTGGCACATCTTCGCATTCACAAAAGATAAGAATTTAAACCTAAAATGAAGAAGGTTATATCCTAGTGGAGAGAGAGAGAGAGTTGAACTTAAAATCTTTTATGGAGATATCCATTTTCCTGAGAGACCGATACCATGGTGTTTTGATACCATTAGGAACGCGAAATAATAAGATTAAGCCGTTAACTAACTCGAAGAATACTTATTTCTACCCTCAATTTTAGAGGGTATCAGATTACATGTATATAATAACTAAATAATTATTTAACTAGTGATAGATTTCATGCAATGAAAGGAAATTGAGGAAATAAAGACGTTTTCAATACCGATGATCTCCACAAAAGCAATTGTAGTAGCTCCAACATCCATCGACTTTATACCTTCTAACTCTCGAGTTAAGAATGCTTATCAAGCTATTTCATTCACAATTTTATATTATAGTTTCTTTGTTGATTCTGTATCTCCCTCATTTCTTCTTAAACATCTCTCTTGCAATTCCTAGCATTTTTTCGAAGAATAATGCTGAGTGTACATTGGGTGGGGCTCGTGATTTTTAAAATTGTTGGGCCCACCCTATTGTGAGAGGGCTGTCACTCATGATGTACAACAAAAAGTGTACATCTAACATTTCTATTTTTCGAATACAATCTACTCAATTAATAGATGTCAGAGCTGTAATAGCAAGAAAGGCAATATTATAGGCCAACTATATATCCTAGCCGGAAAAAAAAATGAAGGAACCAACACCTACCTCATTCATTTGAGCTACAATATCTCACTTCAAAATAAACATTATTAAAAAAAAAAATCTCCAATAAGCATAAAAGACAATTTCAAATTGAGGACCATATAGTTTACTCAGATTTTTCTTTAACTCTTTTTTATATAATAATGGTCAACAAAACCCAAATAAATTTTAAATTCCTTTTACATTAATTCACATTATTGTATGCTATAAATAAATTAAGTTTCGGAATTCCATCTTAAAACGTCAATTTTGTTAACAATAATAGTTCAAGTTTTCGATTGAAACATACAGAAAAATAAAAAGACAAGAAGATAAGACAGAGACTAAGAAATTGAACAGATCAGAGATTCAAGAATGCAAAAAAATCCCAAAAAATAAATAAATAATTGAAAGCAAGTCTTGGGATAATAAGAGTTCAGAAATATTTAATTTTAATGTATATATATATTATATATCATATAAAATATTTTTTGAGAAAATGGCCAAGTCATGGCCGATGAGTAGTCCTCAGCAATAAAAGAGATTTTATTAAAATAATGGCAACCTATGGTGTGACAATTCACATGCTCGAGCTTGTTGATGTCAAAATTCGTTAGAGCTCTGCTACATGTACACGAGCGTGTAAAACACCAGTGTACCCGATCCCACGCCCCCCACACAATTGGAGGGGGGGGGGGGCGCCCATTATTTTATTCACCTCGGGCCCCCCCTCATTGTGAGCTGGCAGTGGGGTCGTGTACCCGGACGTTAGCAAAGTTGAAATTCGTTAACACACTCAAAATAAGATAATATTCAATTTTCTAATTTTTTTCGTCTATTATTTTTTACAAATAATATGCTTAGAAAATAGTAATCGTCTTAGGTACGTCGTTGTCTAGAAATGACTTTAGTTAATGATTGTGTATGACTTGTCGTGTTTGATCTAGTGTGTAATGATCAAAAAATTGAAAATGCATGTGAAATTATTAGATTTAGTCCATGTTTGGTATAGTTTAAAAAATTCGTAAAAACTTGAGTCAAAATCAATAAATAATTTGAACCATATATTTCATCAATTTTTGTTAAAATCTATTGAAAATCTGATTTTTAACGACGCCAAACAGGGACAGTATTGTAAAAATTTGACTGATCCATTCAATTATGAAAAGTAACTTTGTTTTGCTTAAAAGTAAATTGTCCAAACAATTTGAACACAGAAGATTAACTTAAATTGCTTTTACTGATTTACTTTCACCAATGCATGAGGGAAATGATTGACTAGTGAAATTGCAAGAGATCTGAATCTGAGATGATGAATAAAGCAAGTCTTAAAGCAAAGAACAAAAATCTGCAGACCCTTTATTTAAAGTACAAAAAAGCAGCAAAAGTTACATTAAAAAAATTGATGAAACACAGATTATGGATCAAACATGCATGTAAAAAGGTTTCAGATCTTTGAACAAAGACACCCCACCCCCACACCAGCACGTTCTTGCATAAGAATAATCCTAATGCTTGAAGATGAAAAGAGCACATGAGGGGTCACAAGTTTAATGAATTATAGGCAACCCACATCAAGAAAATACATGGTTTTTTTTATATAAAGAAAATGTATTTTGATTTTTATTACATACATTTAATGACACAAAGTAGGGTATATTTGAAATTCCGACATGTTTTTTTCTACGTCGGAATTGTAAAGAGGTGGTAAACATGTTTGGTATGTATACCAAAATAGATCACATAACGTGCTTTATTCATTTTGGTCATAATTCTGCTTACTTAACATGTCATAACGTATTGAGACCGACCATGCATTGCTCGTATAGCCCGATCTCTCTCGTATGCATTGGAAAGTATCGTTCAAAAACCAAATATGGACCAAAATGAGAGAATCTAATGCATTAGACCTCCAAAAAGCATAATATCATTGAATGGAGTGACAAAATAGTAATGTTATTTAACACATTTGGTGTTAAAACATCAATTTAGATGGCACAAACGTGACATTAGAATCACTTAATTCTACATTTTATTAAGTCTATCACTTAATGTTATCTAGACTGATATTGTAGCATTGGTGGTACTAGGTAGCATTATTCGAGACAAAAACATGTTCAATTATTGATATCGCAATGAACCGAACCATGATAGCAACTAGAAAGTGGAATTGAGAAAAAAAGGAACTCGCTGAAAATTGATTTTTTCTTTTTCTTTTTTCATTGATGTATTCATAAACTTTGTACAGATTACTTAATCGAACAAAACCACAACATAATATCAACCTCCGATAAGCATAGTCGAACAAAACCACAAAAATAATCGCAACCTCCGATATTTCTTTTTCACGGGAACAACTTGGAAGATTTACAATTGCGACCAATACCTTAATAATCAGTATTGCAGACTTTTCCATCGATCCTGTTCTGAACAGCTTTCACCGCAGCAACTCTGGCGGCAGTGGCAGCTCTGTTTGCAGCCACAACAGCCTTGTTCACTTGTTCATCCACCATGCGCAGTTTTATTGCATTTTCTGCAGTTTTTCTAGCAGCCTGCAACAATATAGTGAACTGTCCATCAGAAATGAGTTATATGGTCAACGAGCATGTTGGCTGTGGTTAAAAGTCAACCATGATTCGAAAGTTACTTTTTTTACTAACAAAACTTATTTTCTAGAAAAGTAACCTTTAAGAAGAAATTAACGTGGTTTGCGAGAGGATTAACATCATCACCTGAACAGCTCGGAGAACTGCATCGTTTAGCAGGGGAAGGTGCGCCTTAAGATTTCCACCATCCCATTCGCCACATCTCGTCTCACCATTTCGGAAAGTATACAAGCCATAACCTTGTTTTCGTCCTTCGTGCCACGATCCCTCGTAACAATGACAGTTCGAAAAGTGATATACGCCAAAACCATGGACTTTATCACCAAAATATTCACCAGCATATCTGTCTCCATTTCTACAAGACAATCAAAATCCACCATTATTCTCAAGTTTCTTCAATAACTAATGAATCTAGATCACGAAGAGATCAAAATAATCAGAACCAAATTAGACCACGTATACAGCGAATCTATCCATTGTTCTATCTATCAAGAACCCACAATAACTTAACATATAGAAGAAATGAACTCCAAAAACTTTCAGAATCTCATACAAAACTTGAAACGACATATAAAGTAAAATCTGTCTATGAAGACTTAGTATACAAAGTAGGATCGTCCCCACACTTTTGTAACTAAACAAAGTCGAGTCAAACAACATTAACCGTTGAACAAAGACAGATCATCAGATCAAGCATAGAAACAATCACATGAACAATCCAGATCTACTATTGATTAAACTTTGAACTTAACTCCGTCATATAGCGAACAAAGCACATACAGACTAATAATGGTGCACATATCACTGCAAAATTTTCAGCTATCTACACTACAATTAGGCTCCACGTTATTAATAAAATACCGCCCTCCTTCCACCAAAAAAAAAAAAAGGCTCCATGTTATCCAACAAGACTCAAATATCAACTCAAAAACTATGAAAAATCGGGTAAAAACAAGTCAAACAGATAGAAACGAGCATAAAAAACATCAATTCTTGTCGCTAACTATAGTAAAATTATGTTCCACATAGTCCAACAAGATTCACATATCAACTAAAAATTATGAAATAATTGAGGAAAACAAAATCAAACATATAGAAACAAGCATCAAAGAAGATCAATTCTCACCTAAAATGGTAACAACCAAGGCCATGTTTAACACCACATTTAAACTCTCCAATGTAACAGCTGCCATCAGCACAAGATTGCATTCCAATCCCATGGCTCTGTCCATTACACCACTCCCCAGCATATGTATCCCCAGTGTAAAACTTATAAACTCCATAGCCTTGCCTCAATCCCTGCCTATACTGCCCCCGATATCGACTCCCCCTCGCCCAACTCTCGACTCCATACCCATCATACTTCCCATCAATCCAGTCTCCCTCGTATCGCCCATTCGCGAAGTAATAGTACACTCCACTCCCATTGCATTTACCTTGATGAAACTCACCTTCATAGTAATCCCCATTGCTGTAAAACTCCACACCTTCTCTAATAATTTTCTTAGCACTCTCCTTGTAATCTAAGTTTGATTCACCAATGAACCATTTCACTGATTTTTCATTGTTGTTGGAGGTGAAACAGGGGAACCCAACTTTTTTTCCATACTCATAACACAATTCCTTACAAAAACTAAAGCTACTGTGGATTACTGACTTATTTTTCGAGGCGAAAAAAAGTAAAACAGCGATAAAAATAAGCCCTAAAAGCAGATTTTCGGAGGTGGCTATGTCGTCTTTGTTGAAGAAGGAGAAAAGGGTGTATAAATAGAGGAATAGGATGACGAGAACCAGAGTCAGACGCACTGAACCGGACCGAACCGGCGTCGAGCCGGGCTTGCTGTGGGGTTTTTGCTCTTCAAGGTCCTCTATTTCTTCATCAAGCGTGATCTTGTTCATGGAAGATAAGCTGTGGATAGATGATCGGACGGTGTGGGATGGCCGGAGTAGAGATGAGTGGTTCCTAGTAAGCTTCTGACCGTCCATTCTTGACAGCGGGATCTACAGATAAAATCCTAGCCGCTGATCTATTTTGCTAGTGGGTTACCTCCTCCTGTACCTAGATTTTCTTATCATATACTCCGACGCCGGTTTCATCTCCGGCGATGGTGCGTAGGATAAGCAGTGGTAAGTGAGCACACACAATACCATGCAGTGTGTGAGAAAATTTTTATTTAAGAATTGTTCAGACTTCAGAGTTTAGAGTGGCCAGCGTTATGTGTGGTGTGGGGTTTATATAGAGGAAATACATCATACATGTGGGGTTTATTTACTCTTTGACCATTTTAAAAAAAAAAGATAAAATTGCTGAGTTAAATATCAAAATTCAATAATACCCTCGTTTCATATTTGTGAAAGTAAAAAGTGGAGGGGGAAAAAAAAAGAAAAAAGAAAAAACTCACATAGTCACTAATAGTTGGGATCCAATAGACGTCGACATCCTCACAGTTTGACCACCAAACAATCGGCAGCATTATCTTGTTTATGCTTAAAAAAAGTATAGATCTGTTAAAAAAAATAAATTCTACACGTTAATTTATGTCGAAATAAATTTTATCGATTAAAAATGTATACTAACTTAACATAAACGAAATTAAACATACGTAGATATAATTAAAGTGATTGATATAATAAAAGAATTAATTTCACAAACGATCACTAAACTTATCTCAAAATTACAAAACGGTCACTGAAATTTAAAACTTGTAGAAACGGTCACTGAAATTTCATGCTCTTTCACAAACATTCACTGAAGGACCATTATGATTTTAACCAAAACACGTGACTTCAAGTGCAAAAAACAACTCAAACCCCCCAAAACCCAAAAAAATTGCCCCATTCCCTCATTCGATCAATCTCCTCCAAATTTGTCCTCATTCGTTCGAAATTGGCCAAACCCATATGTTCGATGGATGCGCCATGGTGGGCTGGTGCTAGGGGTGTGGTCCTTCCTTGTGAGTTGCAACGTCGTCACCGGAATTCGTGGTTGAAGGGGCCGACTACGCTGTGGAAGAAAAACTTTGCATCTTTGGATTTTCTGATTTGTTTGATGTTATGAGGGCATCTGTAGGTGTGTAATAAAGAGATTAATCTACCTACGGGGGGGGGTACGACATGGGTGTCGTCGGAAGTTGATTTTCTGACTAGTTTTTGGTGCATGTTGGTTTTGGTTCAAATTTTCGATCAAATCTACCGGGGTTGAGGTTGGTGGTTGGGTGGGTTTTGAAGGGGGGCAATGAGGGCTTCAAGGTGGTATATTGGTCTGGCGACCAAGGTGATCGGAGGTTAGGTTTTTGGTTGTCCATAGTTGGTGACCGGAGTTGACAAAGGGTTTTGGTCCCCACTTTGGTGCGATTTTTCGGGCAATTCGATTGGGGTAAAGGTCAGTGGTTGGGTGGGTTGTGAACAGGGCATTAAGGGCTTCAAGACAGTATGTTGGTCCGGTGGCCAAGGTCGCCAGAGATTGGAGTTGTGGTGGTCAAAAGGTGGCGGATTGAGAGAATTTGGAGGAGGGAATGGTTTTGGATGCGTGGGCAACCCACTTTGGTGCTGTTTTCCGGCCAATTCCGACAGAATTACGGTCAATGGTTGGGTGGGTTGTGAAGAGGGCATTGAGGGCTTCAAGACAGTATGTTGGTCCGGTAGCCAGGTCACTGGAGGTTGGAGTTATGGTGGTCCAAAGGTGGTGGGTTGAGAGAATTTGGAGGAGTGAATGGTTTTGGGTTTTAAATGAAATTTGCACTTGAGGTCCTTACGATTTTATGTTCACGTGTTTTGGTCCTTTTAGTTTGAATTAAAATCATAACGGTCATTCAATGACTGTTTGTGAAAGAAATTAAAATTTTAGTGACCGTTTTGTAATTTTGAGGTAAACTCGATGACCGTTTTTGAAATTGACCCTATAATAAAAATATTTTCTTGTTTAGCGTTCGATAATTTTTTGAGATATTGAGGTTGAAGCAGATGAAAGATTAGAGCGTTTTTATCTGTGTTGAAATAAATAGATAAGAAAAATTGGCTAATTTTGAAATTTTAAGTGAGAAGTGTTTGATTTTTAATTGTTAATTAAAATGGCAGTATTTTTTTAAAAAATAAAATAATATTTTGTAATAGTATAACACACCTAAGGACACTTTTGTCTTTTAACATCCAAAAAGTCATTGTAAAAATATGCAATTGTTGAAAATTCAAAATGAAAATTAGGAGTTTGACCAAGCCATTTTAAAAAATAACTCGTTTATATGTATGTCTAGAGGATGGGGTGGGCGCCACATGGGTTTGATATGAACCGTTAGTTGAAGATCTAACGCTAGAGATTGTAACGTACATGTACATCATACTTGACATAAATGTTTATATAATACCATGTGGCATTTTATCATTAGACTTTTTATCATTAGAGTTTAGGTTGGGTTGCAATGACAATATATGCATATTATACCATCATTAATGCACGTTTAATAGTTTAACAAGTTTTATGTTTTTAGTTTTAGTAAAGTTATTTAGCATCACTAGTGTAGAACAACAATTTAAATGACGACTACATGACATTAAATAGTATATTCACTTAAATACAATATCATATAATTTATTTAATTAAACCATCAAGTGTATCCATCTAAACTGATACAGTGATACTCTAACACCACTAATTTTATGTAATATTATTCTTTCAATCTTTTCACATGTTACCAAACTAAATTACAAATCATTTTTCAATAGTCAAGAATTCTAAGTAACTGATCTAGAGAAGTGTGATAAATCCCATCAATAAAATGAGAAAGACTATGCTACTTGTAAATAAAAATGATACATAAAAAATTATATAAAATGATGTGAACGGAAATGATTAGATAAAAAAGTTGACTATTTTTAAACTAATAAATGGTAAAATTTCACGTGACATTATCTAATCCATTATATAAATCTTTATGTACGTGTAGCGAGATCCAAATGAGAATGTTATCTATTCCTATTCTCAAATGGAAATAAATTTGGCAGCTGAGCCTGAGCATAGACATTCTCTTCCTCCCCCACATTGATAGGAGTAGATAAACAAAAATTAATTTTAACTCCCGAATAAAAAAATAAAAAATAAAAAAAAGTTCCAGTCGAACATGTCTATGAGTCAATCCAGTCTAAATCTCATAACATCGATATTAATAAAAGTACAATATGCATGACTACTAACCAAACCACCCAACTATATCACAAAATGTTCATAGTTCTAAGTTGGTCATGTAAAATCTGTTCTAGGGTTTATTTGAGCGCTTTTTTTATTATTATTATGAGTAAATAAGCAAGCTTATGAGCACATCCAAACATGCATTAGCCATGAAAAAACTGCCAATTACTACCCGGAGGAGGGGGCCGGGCAGCTTCCAAAAACAAAATATGCACAATCCCACATAAGATGAAGCTGAAAGAATGAGACTGAAAGGCTAATATCCTGCTGAGTCTTACAATCCACTGTAAACCAGCAAAAAGTAAGGCACATTTATCACCTATAACAGAAAATCTCACACACAATACATAACGGAAGCAATATATCATGTAAATGATCGATTCTAAAATTTCACGACTCTTTACATGCCAAATCTGATGGCTTTCACAACACAAAATTTCAAAGTGACAATCAAACTAAATATTAAAAGTAGTCATCATTACTTCAGTTTTAAACAAAATTGTGATTGTAGGTCTTGTATTGGTTTTCTATGTCAAGATCCTTCAATTTTGGGTCGAAAGCATTAAACGAAAATCTTTCGCAGTTAGTGATCTCGTAAGCCTGTTGAGTGAATCAAATGTTTTACCTTGCTCCTCTTGACGATAATACTGGGCTCGGTAATGAACTTTGTAAGAAATCTCACATCCTGAGCAGAAAGTTTGCAGTAGTTAATTATTGAAAGATTCTATAATAGAAACAGCGATAAAAATAATCACCATAAATTCTGCATCTTTTTACTTGGTTATAGCATCAAACTTCACGGTGATAGGGACACAAAGCACACAACACAAAAGCTACATGGTAAACAATACTAAACCACAGAACCTAGATACAGGAGTTATTGAAATATGAAATGGAATTGAAGGAGGAGCTTCCTGATGATCAGCAAGAAGGATACGAAGTGTTAAAGAATTATGGAAAGGGGTAGAAATGTCCATTGAAGAAGGAGCACATGGCTGCCTATTATTTCTGTTATGCCTTGCTGGAACTTTGTAGATAGATTTTATTCTTTCTAACAAATTTGTTATAATTGTATTAGTTCTAGATTCTTCCTATCTGCTGTATATATTCTGATGTGTAGATGAACGAAAGTAATAGAATTTAATCAATTCATTTTCAATACAAATCAGTTGTTTTCTTTCCTGCACAATCAGTGTGCACATTACAAACATATTTTCCCTTCATTTCTTGCAAGGTTTTTGTGCCCTCGTTAACACCCAATTTCAAACTTAGATTAAGGCAATTAGGACAGATAATGGAGGGGAATTTGAAATGAAAGAATACTATCATAAAAATGGGATTATCCACCAGAAAACGTGTGTCGAGACAAGATACAAACTCCTTGACCTTGAATCCAAAAAGATCTTCATCTCCAGAAATGTCATGTTTTATGAGGAGCAATTTCCTTACAAGGACTGTAGTGTATCTAAAAATAATGACATGAAATCATCACCTATTCCAAATATCTCTGAATCCAAAAATCATAGTCATCATTCCCCTGTTAAAGTCTCTGATCAAATAATACAGAATAGAATCATTCATTCCTCTCCTATTACTGATGAATTGATAACTGATAGAGCTTATCATGAAAGCAGTTATTCGATCCATGAATCAAACAATCATTCTACAGAGTCATTTTTGCCAATTAACTCCCAAGAACCTCAACAAGAATCCCCTGATAACACCATTGAATATCATCATCCAACAAGAAGATCATCAAGAGTTAAGAAGACACCTGCCTATCTTGAGGAGTATATCTGTC